AAGCTGCCGCGGGGCAGAGAGCTGCGCTTGGGCCGCGCACAGCGCCGGCTCAGCCGCCCTCGGCAGCAGCGAGAAAGCCTCTCGCTTTTCCTCCCCGTCCCGCCCCGGGAGGAGGCGCGGGGACGAGCGGGCTGAGACTCAGCCTGCTTCTCCGTCACCGCGCGCCACGATAACGCTATTCCTCGGGGGATGTTTATTCAGTTTGCGGTTCGTTGCTTACTGTTACTGTACGCTGGCCGGGCTTATGTTAGTACAGAGTGGCCAATGCCGTCTGAAAAAAAGCCGCCTCTGAGTTGAGGAAGTCACTGAAACGCTCCCAACTTTGAGCTTGTGTCGCAGCCCAAAAATTCTTTGCGCAGCAGCAGGGCGTCCCACCGCCCAGGCACAGCAGACGCGCCTGCCGCCAGCTCCTCCGCTGGGCCCGATTCCCCTCGGCCTTATTTTGTGCCATATATGGGCTGGATCCCGGAGAAGTCCTTTCATTGACTGCCCTGGATTTGGCTCTGCGCGAGCTGCTCAGCGTGAAGGCATCGCACCCTGCATTATCTACCAAATTAGAGAAAAAGATGAGGAGTGACTCATTTCAACCTTTTTCGTCTCACCAGGCACTCTGTCTCTGTCTCTCTCTCTCGTGCGTGCACACACACGTCTAAATTTCCCTGAGTGCTGCAGCACTGGGAGGTTTGCAAAGATCCGCTGCTCTGCGTATGCGCAGGAAGGCGGCTTTGCCCAGCTACTGCCTTGGCATTCAGTCCCCAGGGCTGCTCCCAAGCCGTGCCCACCCTGGGAAGCGGCCGGCGTTTGGGACAAGCCCTCCAGTGCCGGGGATCGGGACAGGGCTCTCCCACACCGGCCAGCTCCTCACGCTGCACCCCGTTCTCTGCTCTCTTCCACCCTCCCTGAAGCCTTTCGCCTCGGCAGCACGTCTTCCTCCTGTGAGAAAGGCCAAATTTTGGCTGCTTCTTTGCTCTCCGCTGAGTAAGTTTCCCTTTAATCTCAATAAAGCCTCCAGGATTTGAGCTCAACCACCACAGATAAATCATTGGCTTTGGCCTAAAAGTCAGCCAATTTAGCCTTGGCAGATTTGCTCTGTCAGAGGTCACTGAGAGGCTGAGATTTACTAAAGACACTTACTTTTTCTTGGCCTTGTGGTCAGAATTAAGTCCCCCAGTGACACTTTAACACCTGCTGTTCTTTCATGAGAGAAACCACTATGCATCTGGGAGGAGGTATGTTCCTGTGGTTTACGAGACTTTGCCTACCTCTTATGCCACTGTTATCCTAAAACCCCCAAAATAAAGAGCAGACTGACAACCAACACACTGAACAGAGCAACGCTGCATTGACATGGGCAGGCTGACTGGTTTAAACAAGCCTTCTGGGGTTTACTGTAAACACCCTGCCAAATGTCATGCCAGCAGTTGCTTATCTTTCCTTAATGACATTTTTACTAATTCTTTACTGCAATTGTATTCATACATTTTTATGACTGCATTGTAGAAAACACAGTAAGTAGCTGCTAAACCTCTCTTTTTATCTCTCTTGAAAACACACCATAAAACTCTCTCCAGAAGTTGGACAGTTTTCCCAGCCTGGTGAATACCCTTTTCCTTCAAGGTTGTTTTGTACACTGACATCTGCTAAACGGACTGTGGCTTGCTCCTGGGCCCGGAGCTGCAGGACCGTTAGCAATTGGACAAGCAGTCTGTGGTCTGGGACAGGGAACGACTGAAAGGTGCAAAATCTGAGCTATCCACTTCTGACACAGAGCTTCAAGTCTTGAACTGGGTTCAAGCACTCGGGAGCCCAGGGAGCGTCCCCACGCCAATGCAGGTATCTGGATACCTGCAATGAAACAAGTGGCAGAAGAGAAGGTGAAGCAGCAGACCTTCAGCACGAGACCAGCCACAGCCTGGAGCCTCTCTCTTTCCACAGGAAAACCGTGGCGCCGGGAACCGCATCCTGCCCTGGGAAGGCAGCCGTAAATCGCAAGCAATAGCGGCAAAGATTCAGGGAGGGAGAGGGCAGGGGGGATTCACAATTTCACTTGCCACCTCGGTGACAGCAGAGGCAAATCATGTCTCTTCAGCTCCAGCGAAGGTCATGTGCTCTTGGGAGGTTCATTGTCAGGATCCTACAAATTATAAAGTGTCGCCCTGGTAACTCTTAATCTTGTTTCGGCACAGATTGTTCTGCATGCTATCTCGGCTGTGAAGCTTGAAAGATAAAGCTGTCGCTGGGGAGATGATGTGATTCCGATGCTCCTGAGATGGATCGACACCGAGAAAATGTATAGTTTATTAAAATGGTGCAAGATGTTGGAGTTTCTTTTAATGTGTGAGTTTCAAAGTACATGTATAGTTACAGATAATTCCTGCAACTAGATCAATGCAGGAATATCCCCCCCCAACCATATATCTGGGTGGGGACGGGGTGTAAAGTGCAATGTTCTCCATCTTCACTTGCTGGCTTTTATGGCTCCCCTGCTTTTATAATAATGATAACAAAGCAAACATCAGTTATTTACTATTTTAATAAATAACAGATATGTACTAGAACCTATTCAGTCACGAAGGGCAAAAGTATTACAAAATAGCATCTTGTTTTTCTTCAACGTAGAGAATTGCACTAAAATCAGGCAAGCTGGTGCATTTCTCCTGGTGTTTCGGGCATTCTTTTCTGAGATTTTAGAGACTGAATCTCTAAAGAGATGCTGGTGCGGGTGAGAGGGCCTGGGGCCTGCAGCAAAAGCCAGTGGCAGGCCTACCAAATCCAGAATGGGACACGGTTCATCTTTGCACCTTGCATTGCTCCGTGGGCTCAGCGGTGTTTGCAGGGGGGGAGCTGGACCTCAGCACTCCGCACCCGTTTCACTGAGCGCCATAAAGTTCGAAAACCCTCAAAAATGGGCTGAAATATTACTGGGGGAGGGCATGTTTCCACCTGGGCTGGATCTTCTCTCCCCTTCTAGACTGGGATGGTGGGGGGGGAATGCTTTGCAGCTCCCACGGTCCCCGTAGCATGTCCACGGGACTGCTCTGGCGTGGGGACCGCAGGCAGGCGTCACGGGGTGCCGGCGCCTCAGGGGCTGCCCGGTCCTCGGCGTTTCCGCGGCAGGACGCCCAGCTCGGCGCCGGCGGGAGCCAGGCATCGCTCTCTTCGCCAGAGGCCCAGTTTCCCATGCATATCTCACCGGACTCGGGCAGTTTGTGGATGTGAGAGGTGCCTAAAAAAAGCAATTTCATCTATGCCACACCGGCGTATTTGCACCCCTTGGCTAAACCTTTACAAATCCATAAAATGAGAACACGAGTTTGTCTGCAGAGGCACCGATGCTCTCCACCGCTGCTCTGACCCCCGAGAGTGAGTACGTACCGTCTGCGGCCTTTGGCTGCCGCAAGCGTGAGCAATAAGCTGATTTTCTTTTCAAAAGGTCTATGAAAACAGGAACTTTATTTGGCTTGCTACAGGAGCGCCTTTTTCAGAAATCCCTCAGAAATACTTATTTGGAAGAACAAAAGCCTATGGCTCTGACCGATGTGCTTCCTTGCCTCCACAGAGGTGTTTTTCGCTTTTCTGTGAGCTCTTTAACCGGTACTGCCAAGGCAGTTTTTCTGGAGGAGCACTTGCAGAGGTGCTGTCCACCTCTAGATGGTGCGTTTTACCCAGAAGAGCTTCACGCCCAGGCCTTTACGCAACTTTTTCTTCCTGGCCTGACACAGGTTGCAAACCCTCAAGAACCAAAACAGATTTTAGTATTTCCTCGTTTTCTAACATGAGGATCCGACTGCAGCGCAATGCAGAAATGATAAGACTATATTGCTTTGGCGGTTCAAAGAAAGCGTAGAATAAATGTGGCTGGGCGCGTGAGGCCTCTACTATGTAGTTGATAGTGTTGCATGACTTCTGGGTTCCTTCCTGTGCTAACTAAATTAAAACAGAATCGACTTATTTTCTGATATAATGCCTCTGCTCTTGGACTTGAATGTAAGGAGAGAGGGAAGGGACAAAGACTGGTAATAAAACAAGTCTAAAAAGGTGGTGGCGGTGGTTGTAATAACTAACTCCGTCCACAGGATTTATATGTCTTTTCTCTGGGCAGCAGAGAATGGGGCTATGAAGATTTAGAGGAAAAATAAGTTTTTAGCAATAGCATCATGTTGCCACAAACTTTTTGAGTTCACCGAGAAGAAAGGTAAGATCTGCCGGCTGCTTGGGCAGATGATTGCTGACTGCCATCAGGTGGTTTCTGCAGGGCGCTCTGCCCAAAAATCTAAAAACCCCTTTCCAGATATTAATTTGTTAAGACTTTAAACCTACTTTTGAAGCAGATTAAGTGCTCCCCACACACTCGTCATGTCCCAGGCCCCGATCAGGACATCGCAGCTGCTCTCAATACACAGCTACGCCGCGTGACAGTTTAGGGCAGGAAATAAAGGCAATGAGCACCAGATCGATGTCACGGAGGAGCATTATGACCCCCTGCGATCTGAATTTGGATCTTAGCATGCACAGCTCTCACACTAATCATATATATGTCACTGGGCCTGTGATTCTATTTTTTCTGTTTTTGACTCTATTCTGAGAGATTTCCCTCTAAATGTCAGTATTTCTTTGCGTTGAAGGAACAATGTGAGATAGTTTAAACCCCAGTTTTGGCTGCTTTAGTAAAGAAACGAGGAAGACTTACAGAATTAGCATCCCTAGGCTTGATTTAGGGATAAGCACGGCTCGGTTAGCTTTCCTTGCATTTAGAAATTGAAAGTGTAGTTGTTTTCACTGTTCTCGGTCACATAAATGATATGGTTAAATTAACCTGGAACAGAAAAGACACTGCTCTGCTGGCACCGTCCAACTGCAATGTACAAAAAGGAATCAGATAGAATAAATGATGAAAAAGAAGTTAGATCAAAAAATCTGCTGGGCTTTCATAAGCTAAAATGGTACTCACAACACCGGTAAGGAAATTACTCACGTTGACTTCAATGGGTCCAAGATTTTCCCCATGATTTACAACCTGAAATTGCAGCTTTTAGAAGCGTAAAAAAAAGGCCTTGTATGGAAGCAACATTTACAGTGCGTTATGAATACTATCTACTGCTTTTATTTTACATCTCAGCTTCGCAGTAGAACTTTCTTGTAAATAAGGGTTATTTCCCCTAAAAGGCTATTATGAAGTTATCTTTGATGCTGAGGCTACAGCCTCAGTTCCCAACTGCAAAAGAACACTTTAGGATATAAACAGCGTTGTTACAGCTACTTAAATATCCTGTTTTCGCTGGTAGCAGCCTAAAGGGGAGGGAGAGCGCAAAGAGGAACGTTTCACTGCGGCATGCAACATTTCACACTCCGCTCCCAGGTTCGTGCCAAAAGGCCACCGCACATGAATTAGTCTTTCATGTGGTTGTCGCAGAGTGTTGCTAGAGGTTTTCATTTAGCTTTTTACTCTGAGATTTTTCCTCCTGACTGCTGAGAGCAATGCTGGTGGAGAGGCAGGGACGGTTCCTGCCCAGCCCCATCTCTGTCTGCTCAGAAACTGGGTTGCTGCGACCACGTCTGAGCAACCGTGCGGCTGTTGCTCGGTTTTGATTTAATGGGACAGTTTCCTCGATTAGTTCAAGGTGCTTTTGTTCTGGAGATGGGCATTAAAGTGTGCTATAGATTCTGTCCTACATGATTTGGGATTTTTTTCCCTTTCCCCCCCAGTTTTAACATGGATTACAGGCATACCTGTAATAATGTCGTGTTAAAAATGGGGGGAAACAAACAGGGTTCGCATTGCACGGGCAAGGCCGACACAGACTTAGATTTTCGCAGAGAACAAAGAGCAACCCGAGATGGCAAATGTCTCCTCAGATGACGCCTCCACGGCAGGGCGCCGGAGGCAGAGGGGTGCAGACGGCCGCGGGAGGAACAGCGTGCGGGGTCTGATGGCTCCGTCCCGGAGAGATTTGGGGTCACGCCAACAACCAGCAGTGCCCGCCCTGGGCAGGGCCCAGGGAACCTGCACACCTTCGGGGTGGTCCGAAGGGTCAGCACAGCAGCCAAGATATTTTAAGCTATGGAAAACACACCTGAGTGGCTCTTGATCACATTTTAACAGTCGCAAAACCGGGTGTTTGCAAGAACTCGTAAAGGAAACTGTCAAGAGGTTTTGCAACAGGAGTTTACTCAGGCCCTAAATATTCAGAGAAACTGGGCTGCCATTGACAGGGCATCTGCTGTGGTGAGAAGGGATATAGCTGCTCATGTACAGGTGTATCGCCTCTGATATTAGGCTCATTTCCTCGCTTGTCTGCGGCCCACAATCTTCTAGCCAGAGTTTAACATCTGCCGTAAGCGTTATTTAGGGAGAAAAGCATTTCTGCCCGTGTGAGAGGGCCCGGCAGACTGTCTCTGATGATGGGGAGTCTACCAGCAGGGGGTACAGTCAGCAAGTGAGCTCAGGCTACGCCTTCAAAAGGGGTATTTTCACCCCGCATGTTGATGAAGCATCTTCTCCTCCAAATTCTCACATCGCATCCAGCCCTTCGTATCGCTCTGGCTGGGACTATAGGTGTTGTTTTCACATGGAGGACGCGTTTTATGTTTCTTTATGGAGAAAGAAATGCATTTTCCCAGCCATACGATGGTCGTCAGCATGACAAAGAGCAGTGGCTGGACCGAGCGTCTCAGATCTACCCTGGTTTTATCTCAGACTTGCATAAAGCTCAAGCAACTAGATTTGAGAGAGAAATCTTCATTGTGCTTCTCCCATGCCCTTACCAATTTTAATGGTAAGCTAAGGGAGATGAGTTTAATCTGTTATTCCAACAAAGTTGACTTTTAACCTTAGAATCCTCATTTAGGACAATATTTAAGCACAAGCGTAAAAATCCTTAAGTGGGGTTGTTTTAATAAATTGAGAATCTCGGCCGTGTGTCCTACTACAAGCCTTTAAAGATAACAACAGGAACATCCTCAAGATAGTCATAGTTTTATCAGTGGCAATTAATTCCAAGATACAAATAACTCAATAATCTATAATACAGCCCCACAATTAAATTATATTGTGCTATTTTTATTGATCTCGGTGCTCATTACGTGTGTTATACTCATTTCTAATAATCTCTCTGGCCTTTTCATTTACTTAATGCTGCTTATCATATTTAGCTCTGGTTTAGCTAGATAGGTTAATTGAAAGATAGGCCTCCCTATAAAGCAGTCTGCATTTACTGTTTTAAATATAATTCCAGTTCAGTGGATGAAACAAAACTGAGTAAGGAACTGAAGTTTAAGCACACTGGAGTGAGGAGTTCAGTTGTTTAAAGGCATGAATACATGGAATGATTTTGTCTTTCCAGGTTTCAGAGTCTTGGTCCAACTTTTCAGCTTTTGTTCTGGAAACATTTTCTTCCATATAAAGATTAAGATTCCGTATTAAATTCACCTGGTCCTTTCTTCACCTTTATCGGTACCTCTGAAACAGTGCTGGAGTGCCTTGCTGCATTCAGAGCCAAAATTATGACCACTGGATTTCTGCGCTGGGATCTCTTTTGTAGCACTGGAGCTGCCAACATGCTTCATCCCGGGAGGCTAAACCTCAGCCTTGCTGACGAAGGCTGCAGCTTTGGGTTACAAGGGATGCAGAGCTGGACGCCCGGAAACCAGCACTCGGTCCTTCTTGCAGACAATGTGAGGACATGAAAGCAGGCGGCTTTGGCCTCACCTCTGAAGAGTGAAGATCCACGAAGATAGGATAATTTTTGGATGTAGATGCAATCTAAGAACAGTTGCATCTTTAACCAAACAGCAAAGGTAGCTTCTGGAGGGAGTCTGATTCCCAAACTTCCCCTTGGTACGGTTCCCGTCAGGTTTTCCTTGCTAGGCAAGGTCAAAAGCAGGCAGGTCTGGGCTGAAAGTCTTGGCAGAAGCATTTGAAGTGGTGCCAGAGATTTTGCAGGTGACACTGCTGTTGTTCCTGGGTGAGAGCGTGCACGGTGTGGGGCGCGATGTTTCTGTTGTGCTGTCTCAGACGCGTTGAGAAAATGAGGTCATTAAGGGTGCCATGTCACTTTGTGTAAGAGCACGGCTGTGAGATTTGCAGCGCGAGGGTGATTTTAAAGCTAAGCCAGCAGCACATATCCACAGCTCCTCAGCCTGGCCTGGACTTTCTTGTTCATACGAATTAAGAAGCTTCACAGGCTCCGTCATTTCTCAGAGGAGTCAGATCAGATGCTTGTTCAGGAGGATTCAGTGACGTGAATTGTAGGCATCATTGGACAGAGACGTTTGTACAAATAACGTTCCTCAGCCTTCCCCCCACGAGGGCTCCTCGCGCCCCTTCCCAGCTCCCCTCTCCCGCCGGGAAAACTCTCTGCCTTCCCGCTCCCCCGGCACCGGCTGGGGGGGGCCTAACCTCGGGGCTGCCAGCGGAGCGGGCTGCTCCGCAGTCCCCATGGAAACAATTTGGAGAGGTTTCGAGCTCGTGCAGCGTTGCTGTGCACTGAGAAACAGCCGCTGCGTTTCGCCCTCCAAAGGGCAAAACCTGAATTTGCGAAGCCTGAATTCATTAGCGTCTGAGAAGCGCTTCGTGGTCCTTGAAGAAGGTGCTAGAGAAGAGCAAAGTGCTATTACCTCAGATTGACAGGTTTTGTTTTGCCCCGCCGCCCTAGCTGCGCTTGTTGGCTGTGCGTGGTGGAAGCCGGGATAACGGAGACGGGTCTCCTTGTCACAGACTGCCTCTTGGAGAGCTCTTCTGCCACCATGTCCATGCTGCAGAAGGTGGCTCTGACATCGAGGAGGCCTCTCATCGAAACCTCTGCGACTGCCGTCAGCCAAGGAATACACTCTGGAGAAGGCGGGGTGTCTCCTGCGCTCACAGCACAAGGCACACGGGTGAGCTGGGGATCTGCTGCTGCCCCCCCGTCAGCCCTGAAGTCCCCAGCAGCGGTACCTGCCTTGCATGTCCTTGGACGCTACCCTGGGCCCACACGGAGCCGTGTACACAAGCAGCCACGTGAAGGCCGGGTTTGCAAGCAGATGCACATGAATCTCGGGATGAAAACATTTCCCCCAGCGCTCTACACTGGCGCTCGGCAAGCGCTCAGCACGAATGGACGCACTCTGCCTCCAAATGCCTGGTGCTAACAACCGGTGGGCAGATTTAGTCAAAAAGCAAAACCCTCCACAGGGAGGGCTGGATTCACTGAGGCAGATTAAGCACTTGAAGAGCAGACAGAGGTCTGTTACACCCTCCTCCAGCCATAACGAATTCATGATGCGCGCGACTGCCACTAAGCTGCAAGTCCAGCCCGTGCGGACTTGCACTTGTGCATCGCTGTGGAGCTCGGCAGGTGCCTCTGCAGCTACGGGCTGGGCTTTGAGTTCCCCGTCCTTGTCCCCTCTACCTGCATCAGCATGGGCGAGACCCCGTAAGATGCTTCCCCTGCAAAATCCTCTTTGGCAGCCAGCTACCTTGGCCTCTCCCACCATGGGAGAAGAAACCTGGCTGCTGGCTACGTTTCTCACGGAGCCTGCCAATGAGCATTGTATCAGGGCTGGCATTTTTTTCAATTCTGTTTTTTTTTAATGACCTTTTTTTAAATTAAATGTGGCTTTCCAGGAAGTTACAAATAATAAACACGAGCATCACCTGCCTCCTTACAGGTACAGAGAACTAGGACTACGTTGCCCCATCTCCAGCCTTAATTCCAACAACTGCAAGAGCTAACTTTAAACTGATTAACATTTAAAACAGATGCGCTTTCTTCAGTTGGGCGAGATCAGTTGAAAACTAACCGTCCAAAAAATGAAAGGATCAATTTTCCTCTGGGTCAGGTCGCTGCCTGCAAGGCTGCACAAGCCCCGGTCCCCAGGTGAGGGAGAGACAGGACACGAACACCAAGGGCGAGAGGGTGAGGTGTCCTGTCTTTCACAGCACAGCCTTAAGACGCTTGAGCCACCCTTGAAAGGACACCGTCATCTCATCCGCCTGCTCTCTCCATCCTGGCTTTGGAGATGCCCTCTCCCCTTCCAGCTCTCGGCTTGCTCCTCTTCGCCTTGTCCTCCGCGGTGCCCGGGGCTACAACCTCCTTCCTTCCCCTCTCAAATTCCTCTTCCCCCCCTTTGCGTTCTCTCGCCGTCTTTGCTGTGATTCATCAGTGCTTCAAAGATACCAGTCTGAATGGGGAAAAACTCATCAAACATCAGGTTGTGCTGTTCTGTACATTTTCTATAGTGACTCACGAGTCTGACCAGATAACTCCCCACCCCTCTCGCTTAGTCACTCGCTCCCTGCCACATAGGCTTGTCTGGCTCCTCCGGTAGTTCCCGCGTTGTTATTACTCCTGGGGGGTTTTGCAGTTTCCTAGCGAGCCCACCCTCGCCCAAAGCGCGTGGGATGCTGCAGCAGGCCGGGCCGCGGAGCCGACCCGGCGCGCCCGGGGCAGCGAGGGGGGCAGCAGAACCTCACAGCAGCCACTCTGGCCGTAGAGAAACCATAACGCATAACCGCGTTCGCTCTCCCCCTCTCTCCACTTCAGCTACGCACAAATTACTCTGTCATTGTGGCGGAACAAATAAGGCTTCATTATCATTACCATCCTGATGGGAGTAAACAAGTTTATTTACACTTGAGCACTGCCGAAGAATAAAGTCATAGAGAAAAGTTCATGGTAGGTGGCCCCGTCTTTGTCGTCAGGGACAGCTTTTACAAAATCGCTACCCACTCGGCCAGACAGTCTGCTATTCAAGCAGGCCCGGGTTAATGGAAGTACGGTGTGTGCTTGTTAAAAGGAGGACTACAACACTTGTAATCATGGGTGGTCACATTTTTATTTAATGATATGTATCTTTCCCTTCTCCAGCGTTCGCTCTTAACCCTTTGCCTCCCACTCGCCAATTCTTTTGCAATGAATAATTCAGCCTTGCACAGCCAAATCTGAGCCTAGGTCTACAACCAGCTAAACCCACTTGACAAGTGATTTTTGTTTTTAAACTGTCCTTTCGTTAATGGCCCCGAGATGCCAACAAATCAAAGAACCTCAGAGCCGAAAGGGCCTCACATTTGTAATCAGTGGAGCTAAAATTATAATAAAGGGCAACGGCAAACAAACTGGCCGCGGAAAGGCCTGTGAATCAGAGCTGCTTCCTTTCTTTCAGAGCATTTGTTTGGCCCTGGGGATAAATCTGTTGGAGCAAGGACACTTCAAAGCCCGAAGTCTGATTCCGCTCTCGCTCATGGCGGTCACACCAGCCATGGCAATGGGGTTGTACCCAGGGCGGGAGACTCAGACCCACCGCTCTTATCACAGGTGCAACGAAAGCCACAGTCAGCTCTGATGGTAAAACAAATCGATTTATCTATGATATGACCTCACTGAAGTCCTGGGTGCAAACATGCTACCCGGAAAAATCCACGTCATCTGCAAACCTCCCTGCCAGTGCTTATCACCGGCCAGTCTGAAGTGTTCGCTCCTGGATTTGGGGGAAGTTCAAACTCCTGCGCTTCTCACGTCTAACCCCAGTTAAGAGACGCACAGAAGGACACGCACGTATACACACTCATACGCAAAGCTGGGACTGACCATCAGACATCCAGTCTTTTAATCTGCTGGTTTGCTGGCACTTACTTCTTCCTGTTGTCACAAGCAAAAGGTTTGTCTGCGCGTCTGCCACCACTCCCGTCTCTCCCCGTGGTAACTGCTGAACTTCACAATCACTTGTGGCAGAGATGTGAAGATACGAACTTTCTACAAGTTCTAGGAAAAAAGCAGCTGTGTGAAAAGCTGACGCCCCGGTTTCCCGCTCTGCCAGCCAGCGGGACCTGCGGGGCCACCAGCACATCTGCAGCTCTGAGCCAGCACGTCTCGGCCCACCAGTGGGTAGAGGTGTGGAAGATGAGGGTGTGAGGGAAGGAGGCTTGGAGGACCCAGAGGAAAAGAGCCAATACCCCGGACAATGAAGCTCATAAATCCATAGGAAACCTGGCTTTACTCCTTTGCTGTTGGCAGAATAGGCTGTTATATAGTATTTAGTGTGAACCAGCACCTGTCACTTGGGTATCTTCTTCACCGACAACGTTTTCTAATGGTATTTAGGAATGTAAAACCCCAAATGCTTTCAATCACAAGCAACTCTGGGAGCAGGGAAGATCCCCGCGGGCCACCAGGTAGACGTTGCACCAGCTGGTCGTCCCCGTCCCCTTAGCCCGGGGCAGGGAGGGACGGCAAAACGCTCCCGGCAAAGCTGTGAGCAACCACCTTGCTTAGGTGCCCTCCACCTCTTTGGTGTCCTTACTGTAGCCGCTGACGCGAAGATACTGAAGGTGCCCTCAGGCGCTTAGCGTCGCTGTGGCGCTTGTGGAAGCAGGAAAGGCTGCTCCGGGGCCCGTCCCTGCTGCCCCGAGCCGGACAGCCCCCGCAGC